GTTTCTGAGAAGACTTTCTAGTGTTTTCCGGTCGACCGCGAATTTACGTCGGCTCGACCGAATTCCATTGGTCGAGCGAATTTGCGCGTCGGCGACCGCAGCCTTCAAAACGATGTTTCCTCCACGTTTTTTGAACTAATCGGTCGACCGTACCGGTCGCACCGACCGAGCTGACAAACTGAGCCTAAGGCTAGTTTTTCAAATGCGGCTTTTTGCGTCTTTTTCTATTTTTAGCTGTTGTATGGGTTCTATATATACCTCATGCCTGCTCTTCTTCTCTATTAATCAAGAAATCAAGTTGGTGTTTAACAAGTTGTTAATCGCGTTTAAGAGCTATTTAAGACGTCGTTTCATCAATCTGTTTTCTAAGAGAAGTTTTTCTACAACAGCAAGAAGCTTTTCTCAAATCCTTATTGGAATCATTATTTCTACAGCTCTTCTCTTGTCATGAGAAGTTTTCTAAAAACTCTTCCTATATAGCTTAGTATATTCACTTTCAAATTTGATTAGCTATATTCATTAAGTTATTTATTGAGTTTGATGCACTATTATCACACACACTTATTGAGGCTGATATTCCATATTATATATTGTGGGTTTGTGGGTTGATTTAGTAGTGTTTGAGCTCATTGTGTTCTCACTTGTAAATTGAGTAACAAATCATTGTATTATACTTTTATTTGTGAGAATCACTTTGTAATTACACTTGTACACCGAGAGAGTGTGAGGAGCAGAGAGACGGGGTCAATCATAGAGTGGCGGTCGATTGACGAACCTAGGGAGAGTTGGAATCGAGCACGTGAGGAGATCGGTGGGGGCGGGGGGGGGGGGGTGGCACGGCTAGGTTCCTACACTTAGTGTGTAAAGGTGTGATTGCTTGAGTGATTGTGTAGTGTGAGACGTTTTCGGTGAAACTTGTAAACCGAGTGTGAGAAATTCCGGCTTCCAAACCGGATTGGATAGGCGATATCTCCTCGAGGTTGAAGAGGAGCTGCGGACGTAGGTCAGTGGGGGACCGGCAACCTCGTAAACATATCGTGTGTTTGCTGTTTTGCTCTGTCTCATATTTTATTTGTGCATATTCTTATGTGTTCTTATTGTTCATATCCCTATCTCTTGCAAGAACATATTGCATCTATATAATTTTAATTAGCTTTTAAATTGGATTAGATTAGCCATTGAAAGACCCTAATCACCCCCCCTCTAGGGTCTAAACATATGGTTCAACATCCAAAAAGATGAATCTTTAACATCCAAACACTGAGTTAACTTCTCCACAGAACAAGAAAACAACCTTCGTCCTCATTTCATTCAAGGTCCTCATACAGCGCCACATCTGAACTACTTATGATGTCGAATCCCTGTAGATCTTCATCGAGGGTCTAACCAACTAAAAAGTAAAAAACTCAAAAGCCATAGAATTAACTAAAACTAATTTCGTCACCTCGGAGTCCTGAGACTTGGAAAGTAAAAAACTCAAAAGCCATAGAATTAACTAAAACTAATTTCGTCACCTCGGAGTCCTGAGACTTGGCGATATCGACAAGGATCTTGGCAGCAGGGTGAACGATGTCGAGCAGCTTCATGATCGTAGCCCCATCGTTGGAGATCGTGGTGTTGCCCTTGTCGTCGAGGATGAGCTTGTCCATTCCCCTCGAGCCGAGAGTTGTACGGACGGTGTCGGCGACGGCGGGGCAGGCGTTGATGTTGCTCACTACTTGCGCTTTGCCCTGCGACGTGTCGGTGCCTTCCTTTAGAAGTATGATCTGAGGCTGGAGCATCGCCGCCATCGCGCTGGGTGAGATCTAGGGTTAGGGTTTGGAGAGGAGGAGAAGTTGGAGGGAGTGGATTTGAGAGTGTTTCGAGAGCTTCAGGGTTTTAGTTTGCGGGAGAGGGGAATGGGAGGGTCTGCCGAGATCTAGGGCAGTTAACGGGTTAACGGGTTTTGGCCAAATTTCTGACCTCCCCAATTAGAGTTAGGGTCCTGCAAATTCCTCGTGAGAGGATAGTCTGACAAGCCCCAAAGGCTTATCCGTCTTTTTTAATAAGCCCTCAAGTTTCTGTTTTTGAAAAAGAAGCTCGTAAGTTTTACTCCATTCTTCTAAGAAGTCCTCAAGTTTCTTTTTTTGACCACTAGGCCCCTAAATTTTACCCATCTCTTCTGAGAAGTCCCTGATTTTTACCCCACCCAATTCTTCTTGTTAGGCTAGAGGTTTCGTTAGCAGAAAAAGAAAGTTAGGTGCTTCTTAGAACAAAGTGGTAAAGCTTAAAGGGTCAGTTGCTAAAAAAAAAAAGTTGAGGGCTTCTTAGAATGAATGGGTAAAAGCTAAGAGCTTTTTAAAAAAAATGGGTAAGACTTAAGGTAATCTTTAGTCTATCTTCTCAATTTCTAATTGTGGCCATTTTTCCTTTTTTTGGAGGGAACTTCCTCACATTCATTGGGTGTCACTAAGGTCTCGTTTGGTTGCAAAACAGAAAGGCTGAAAGCCTGACAAAAGCCTGAAGCTTTTGTCAGGCTTTCAGCCTTGTTATTATGCAACCAAACGGGGCCTAAGGGGCACCCCCAACACACGACCTCTTGTATTTCACGAAATTAAATTCACGTGGGTGCTCTCTAGAAAAGTCAAAGCTAAGACATTAAAATAATGCTCATAGTTAGCTTACTAACTCGGTTAGACACTCTTGGGTTTTATTGTGGTGATTTTGAAAGTGCTAAATTATTAGATTGGTATTTTTATTAGCACCATATTCTCAGATATAGTTTTTTTTCTTTCACTTGCAGTATCATATTCTCAGATATAGTTTTTTTTCTTTCACTTGCAGTATTACGAAAACTAATATCACCATTTGACGTGAATTTGATATTTATGTCATATAGGAAAAATAACCAAATTACTTTATTTAGTAGTAGAAAAACATGACCAAAATTGAAAATGATCATTTTGTTATGAGCACATATCAGAATGAATTGTAACTTTTTTGCTTCTCATTTCCAATTACATCCTAATTCATTATGGAATTTATTTTAGTTTCAAATTTGTTGGTGAATCGCGATGCGTTATTTACATTTTCCGATTGACTGGAGTACAAGACTGTTGCAGACGCAGTGCTTTAAAAAAAAGTTTTTGATTTGGCCATCGTATGAAGAATGTTAGGACTCATGTGTATGAGCCTACTTTTGAATCTTGTTTTGATGATGTTGCAAACAATTTATAATATATTTTTTAGTATTTGTGTGTTGTTTCAGGTTAAGTAACTCTGGAGCCTCAGTTATGTAGAAGCTCATTCAACTCAGTCAGATCCAAGATTTTGCTTCTCATGCATATCAACTTGGTACAACTAGCATAGGACTTTATGTTGTGTGAATACATCTCAAGCTTAATATCCGTATAACACACACATTTTTTCTTAATGTGATTTTATCAAATATACTGAGATATCAGTGTATAGACTTAATTTTAGCTATATTCAATTTTTGTTAAGTCTACAAATTCATTTAAAAATGCCGCATATCCTTGTTTATCTCATTTGTTCAAAACTAAGAAAATTATACACTCATTTTACATGTTTTTAGCAAAACCATGAGATTTTTCAAACAGTGTATCACATTTGGAAAATTCCTTCTGGAATACACTCATGTATATGTTTATAAACTATTTCCCAAATTTTATATTTTTTGGAATTTGTTTGATATTTTTTAACATGGTTCAAAGTTCAGCTTTTCTGCATTTCTTCTGATCAGTGCACGTTCAGTCGACTCATAAGTCGACATATAAGTCGACTCACGAAGTGTGTGGAATTGTCATTTTTATCTGCTGAGTCGACTCATATAAGTCGACTCATTAGTCGACTCATGAGTCGACTCATAAGTCGACTTACCAAAGAGCCGTTGCACAGTAACGGCTAGTTTGCTGTTTTATGTGTTTGGGGCTTCTTGGTCTTTTTCCTTGGGCTTTAGCTGATGTATTGAGATGCTATATATACCCATATATTCTGAACTCTTTAAAAGTACCCAAGAAGTTTTCTTAATCAAGTTTGAAAGAGTTTATCTTGTGTTTAAAGAGGTGTTTAAGCCTTTGTTTAGTTTGAAAAAGAATTGGCATTACAAGGAGGAGCTTGTATCACTTGTTGAGGAAATCATCCTCAATATCCAATCATCCTCTTCTTGTAGAGAAGTGTTTCTAACTCATCTTTCTAGCACTCAATTCTTGTTAATCTTATTGCTAGTTGGATTTCATTTAAACTCATTTATTACACACTCACTTTGAGCTTGATTATATTTCATACAATATATTGTTGGGTAGTGGTGTGTGATTTAGTGAGTGTTGGGAATTTAACGCCTAAATCCCTAATGCAACAGAAACGTAGAATAGAAAAAAGTACACCAAGATTTACGAGGTTCGGCAACTGCCTACGTCCTCGGGAGCCACACAGATAATTTCTTATTAATCAAACAAGAAATTACAAATCAAGAGCAAATCCCAAAATTAAGATTTCTCAAATGAACACTGTAGCTACAGTGATAATAATTAAAGGAATAAACCCCCTTTCAAAGGGAATAAAAACCCTAATTAATTTCTCTCTCTCTCTCTTTCTTAAACTTTTCTTAATCTCCCCTCAAAGGAACATGAGAGCTGGAGATGAAATAAAATCACTGCTGTGATTTAAAAGAGGGGGGAGCCGAAAGAGGTTGAGAAAAAACGCGTCTACGTTTTCGATCGCCGCCAGAGAGAAATCGGGGGAGAGGAAGCAAACCAAACCCTAGGGCACAAAGGGGTTTATATAGGAGGATTGGAGGGCTGGCGACAGCCTGTCGCCAGCGGATAAGCCCGACGCGAGGGTCGGAGCGCTCGAATGCAAGGGTCGGCATCGCCAAAAAACGCCGAGGTCAGAATCGCCCAAACGCGATGGTCGAAAACGTCAAGTTCGAGTTCGCCTGCAGCTTTGCCTGCGCCATCCCTCAAGCTCGTCGGAGCTCCTCGCCGGAATAGAGGTTTGATCTACACCTTATTCCAACACTTGGCATATGAATTTATAAACAGTTGTGACTTTCCAGCTATGGTTCGTGCATGTTGTCGTAAATATCGACTAACCTCCATCTATCATTTTTTTCAAAAAAATAAAAAAGAATGAGTATGAACTAAAGAATACAAATTAAAACAGATCTTAGCAGGTTTCTATTGCCTACATCAATAGCACCGCCACCAGCCACAATAGTGGAATTCTTGAGAGCTCTTCTGACTATCATTATTGCATCATGCAGACTCCTTTCAGCTTCTTCAATGAACTGGAGAGAGCAAAACATCAAACAATATGATGACTACTAGGCATAAACTACAGTAACGTTCAGCTGATGGGAGACTTTCTTAATGACAAACCTGGTCTGCTCCACCACGGAGAACTATGGTTGCAGTCCGACCAGAAGGGCAGCCACTAAATATGTTGAACCTCTCATTCCCAACTTGTTTCTCCTCAAACACATCACAAGACCCCAGAACCTTTAACAAGTTAACCACAAAAGAAGAAAATTAATAAAAGGGGCCATAACTATATGGATTGAAATTAAAGAATTCACTCATCTGTCTGATTGCACTCACTAAACCACAAATGTACAAGGAGAGATATGAAGGAAACCTCATTGATAATGTTGTTGACAGAAGTTTGTACAGTACCACCTGTAGCAGCAGAAACCCTTTGCAGGTCTTCTTCTGTTACACGACCAGCGCAGAATATATCTCGATCTGCAAAATACTGAAGACCATACAAAATATTACGGTTTGAACATGCTATGTTTTACAGAAAATTGAGGTATGTACCTGAGTTGCAAGGTCGCCAATTGCCAATCGCGAGAGGACGATTTTTGCTCCACTCTTGACACACTTATCTAACTTGTCGTAGATGATATTCCACTCAGCATCAACTATTGACTGATACTGCAGTGGATCTGATAGTCTACAAATGACTTATAAATTGATTATAAGAGAACCATAAAACATGATGAAAAAACATATTAACAGAGCACATTTATTGGAGTTGATTTTACCTGATTTCAGCATTTTCTTTCTCTGATTTCAACTCTAATTCAATGTTTAACAGAAGGATTTTTGGATTCAGAAACTTGTTTGGTTGCTGCTCAAAACCAGCATAAGAGAATGTCTTTTTGAAAGCAACACCATTAACAAGAAATGAATCCCTCATAGTACCCCCTGGAACCTGCACCATAAGCCGTAATTTAAACTTCAAAAACCTTTACTGCATACTAACTCATTGCAAGCAATACCTTTAAAATTCCATCCAGTAGAAATTAAATAATTCCACATCATTAGGGTGCAAATCCCCCCCACCCCCCACCCACCCAACCCCCAAAGCAAAAGAATAAGAAATAAGATATGATAGTCATAAAACAGATGGCAATAAAGATGAAGAGTTGTTTGCCTTAAATACTTGACACAGAAAATAAATTCTAAACCTAAGCAATAAGAAGTATTAGATTCTACATTAGCCTCCCAAATTTTATGCCAATGCTCCAGATTCAAAAGTTATGCGCTTGGAATTGACGAGTAAAACGATCTTTTCATCTAGAAGCTTTAATCAAGACAGTAAATACACAACAGGAAAAAGAGACGAGTTATTAACCATATGCATGATGAAACCTTACAGTACCCAAAATTTTACATCCACTTCAGAATACCGATTGCTTTCAAAATGTACTTCAGATGTCGCGCACATATAACCAATAACCCCGCCAATGCACAAACCCACCCACCCCCAGAAAAAACAAATATCAGTTAAGACCTTTTGGGTTTCAAATGCTAGAAAACTGAACATAATTGAAGCATGAAGTTCCAACTTCTGAGAATAGAACAATCAATATATGTTTAGATGCTAACAAAGCTGCCTTAATGGGTGTTAGAAACTTAGAATTAATGTTATCACGCTTGCAGTTGTTATCAATGTCATTTAAAATTTAAAATGAACTTAATGAGCACCAAATCATATGCGAAAAAGCAAATATACGCGTGTAAGGATTGATGAGAATAACCTTTTTTATTCCAAGTAAATTTAATCTATCATCATTTACAATAGCAAGGACAGCGTCCACAACCATTTCAGCAAAAAATTCTTTTTCGCCTCCTATTAATTTTGATGATAGTGTTGTAGCAGCACATTTTGCCAATAAGGACTTCTTTTCCTCAAGGCTCTTCCCTTCTATGCTTACAGAGAGCTCTTTAACTTTGCTAATGGCCTGTAATACATGGTATAATATTCAGTTCAGCGAACAATAAACTACAGTATATCATGCAGACAGTCACTAATACACTCACCAAGTTGCCTATCGAGGGTCTAACCAACTAGAAAGTAAAAAAACTCAAAAGCCATAGAATTAACTAAAACTAATTTCGTTACCTCGGAGTCCTGAGACTTGGCGATATCGACAAGGATCTTGGCAGCAGGGTGAACGATGTCGAGCAGCTTCATGATCGTATCCCCATCGTTGGAGATCTTGGTGTTGCCCTTGTCGTCGTGGATGAGCTTGTCCATTCCCCTCGGGCCGAGAGTTGTACGGACGGTGTCGGCGACGGCGGTGCAGGCGTTGATGTTGCTCACTACTTGCGCTTTGCGCTGCGACGTGTCGGTGCCTTCCTTTAGAAGTATGATCTGAGGCTGGAGCATCGCCGCCATCACGCTGGGTGAGATCTAGGGCTAGGGTTTGGAGAGGAGGAGAAGTTGGAGGGAGTGGATTTGAGAGTGTTTTGAGAGTTTCTGGGTTTTAGTATGCGGGAGAGGGGAATGCGAGGGTCTGCCGAGATTAGGGCAGTTAACGGGTTAACGGGTTTGAAGTTTGGATACAGTGGTCTAGTGGATACAAGGGAGATTCTAATATGAAGAGAAGAGTTTTCATTTGCTCTCTTATATGGTGTGTCTGGCAGGAGCGCAATGACAGATTGTTTTCTAATAAGCAGAAGAGTTCTCTTGCCCTCTTGAACAAAATTGTGACTTTTTCAACATTTTGGCTAGGATCTGAGGGGATCTCTGCTCGAGCTGCCAGATTACAAGAAAGAAGAAGAAAAAGAGCTGCTGGTTTCAATACTGCCAAGGTTGCTGATTTTGAGAACAAAGATGGTGTGGCTACAGTGATTCAATTGGGATGATCCTTTTATATTCACTGGATATGCTCTTGGTTTTGCTTGAAAGAAACTTTGTTCTTCTGTTTTGTTTTTGGTTTCTTTTGACAAACTTGTTATATCAGGTATTTGGGGGAGGTTATGTCCGTTTTTTTCCAGTTGTATACAGGGAATGGGGTACTACTACTTGTAGTATTTTCTTTTGAACTTTAGTACATACTCTTGGTTGGGAGTATGAACTTTTTTTTGTAACAACCACTTTATCTTTTAATTTAGCTGGCTGGAATACCTTTGGGGTATTCCATCCTTTTTCTCCAAAAAAAAAACGGGTTAACGGGTTTCGGCCAAATTCCTGACCTACCCAATTAGAGTTCGGGTGCCGAAATGTAAATTCCTCGTGAGAGGATAGTCTGAAGAGCCCCAAAGGCTTATCCCTCTTTTTTAATAAGCCCACGAGTTTCTGTTTTTGAAAAAGAAGCTCGTAAGTTTTACTCCACTCTTCTAAGAAGTCCTCAAGTTTCTTTTTTTGACCACTCCCCTAAGTTTTACCCATCTCTTCTGAGAAGCCCGTGATTTTTACCCCTCCCAATTCTTCTTGTTAGCCTGGAGGTTTCATTAGCAGAAAAAGAAAGTTGGGTGCTTCTTAGAACAAAGTGGCAAAGCTCAAGGGTTTAGTTGTTTAAAAAAAAAAGTTGAGGGCTTATTAGAAGGAATGGGTAAAAGCTAAGAGCTTTTTAGAAAAAATGGGTAAGACTTAAGGTAATCTTTAGCCTATCTTCTCAATTTCTAATTGTGGCCATTTTTCCTTTTTTTGGAGGGAACTTCCTCACAATCATTGGGTGTCACTAAGGCCCCGTTTGGTTGCAAAACAGAAAGGCTGAAAGCCTGACAAAAGCCTCAGAGGTTGAAAGCCTGACAAAAGCCTGAAGCTTTTGTCAGGCTTTCAGCCTTGTTATTATGCAACCAAACAGTGCCTAAGGGGCACCCCCAACACACGACCTCATGTATTTCACGAAATTAAATTCACGTGGGTGCTCTCTAGAAAAGTCAAAGCTAAGACATTAAAATAATGCTCATAGTTAGCTTACTAACTCGGCTGGACACTCTTGGGTTTTATTATGGTGATTTTGAAAGCGCTGAATTATTAGATTGGTATTTTTATTAGCATCATATTCTCAGATATAGTTTTTTTTCTTTCACTTGCAGTATTACGAAAACTAATATCACCATTTGACGTGAATTTGATATTTATGTCATATAGGAAAAATAACCAAATTACTTTATTTAGTAGTAGAAAAACATGACCAAAATTGAAAATGATCATTTTGTTATGAGCACATATCAGAATGAATTGTAACTTTTTTGCTTCTCATTTCCAATCACATCCTAATTCATTATGGAATTTATTTTAGTTTCAAATTTGTTGGTGAATCGCGATGCGTTATTTACATTTTTCGATTGACTGGAGTACAAGACTGTTGCAGACGCAGTGCTTTAAAAAAAAGTTTTTGATTTGGCCATCGTATGAAGAATGCTGCAAATTGCAACACCCAGCCCCCGCCCCCCCCCACCACATACTTCTAAAAGTCTTGGCATTAAGCAATCATACGGTATCGTACTAACAATCAAGTTTCTTTCATACTTCTACTCTTTCTCACGATTTATGCTTTTGTTTGAAAGGAACTTGAATCCGTTCACTTCAGTCAAAATTCTTATCCAAAAAGAAATCTTTTGATTGTTCCTTTAGGTTTAATTCTATTTTTCCACCAAGCATTTTGAAATTTGACTTAGATATTCCGTTATAATTTATTACATCAAACTGCGTATACACACTATTGCACAATTTTAGTTGATCATGATATAATTGTCCCTTAACGACTTCCAAATGAATATGTGTTTGTTAACGAGTTCTTATTCCACTCCTTTTTCCTCATCGATATTAAAAATAAAACAAAAACAAGAACGTACAGGTTCCAATCTTTAACATCAAACCGCCTACAACTGAGACTGTGTCTTAGTTGACACTTCACATGAAATCTACCCTTTTTACCAGAAGACAAACCCTGGAATATTGGTCAACATCCAAAAAGATTGAATCTTTAACATCCAAACACTGAGTTAACTTCTCCACAGAACAAGAAAACAACCTTCGTCCTCATTTCATTCCTTGGTCCTCATACAGCGCCACATCTGAACTACTTATGATGTCGAATCCCTGTAGATCTTCATCGAGGGTCTAACCAACTAGAAAGTAAAAAACTCAAAAGCCATAGAATTAACTAAAACTAATTTCGTCACCTCGGAGTCCTGAGACTTGGCGATATCGACAAGGATCTTGGCAGCAGGGTGAACGATGTCGAGCAGCTTCATGATCGTAGCCCCATCGTTGGAGATCGTGGTGTTGCCCTTGTCGTCGTGGATGAGCTTGTCCATTCCCCTCGGGCCGAGAGTTGTACGGACGGTGTCGGCGACGGCGGTGCAGGCGTTGATGTTGCTCACTACTTGCGCTTTGCCCTGCGACGTGTCGGTGCCTTCCTTTAGAAGTATGATCTGAGGCTGGAGCATCGCCGCCATCGCGCTGGGTGAGATCTAGGGTTAGGGTTTGGAGAGGAGGAGAAGTTGGAGGGAGTGGATTTGAGAGTGTTTCGAGAGCTTCAGGGTTTTAGTTTGCGGGAGAGGGGAATGGGAGGGTCTGCCGAGATCTAGGTCAGTTAACGGGTTAACAGGTTTCGGCCAAATTCCTGACCTACCCAATTAGAGTTAGGGTCCTGAAATGCAAATTCCTCGTGAGAGG